GAGAGAGAGATTCAGAGAGAGAGAGAGAGAGAGAGAGAGATTCAGAGAGAGAGAGAACAAAAAGAGCGAGCAAGAGAGAGCGAGAGAGAGGGGTGGGGGAGAGAGAACTCAAAAGAGTGAGAGTGGGGGTGCGAGACAATAAACATGTGTAAAAAAAAAAATAAGCCTATAGCTGATTGGAGGTATGAACCTTGAAGTGAAGTCGAGTTTTCGTCTCTAACATCACATCCATTGCAAGCTCCATGACGTCATCAGGGTGGTAGGATGGAACGTCTCTGTACAGTGTCGCCGAATATCCCCACTCCTTACGAACTAGATCGGTTAGTCTGTAGCCAGGGTAGACTAACGGGTAATAGCAGGAGGGAACGCCCGTACCACGTAGTGTAACCTCGATCACGGTGCCCGTGAATTTATCGGTCGTTTGTACGACGTTCCGCGCCGCATTTGGCTCCACTAGAGGGAGCCAACAGCATCCTCGACCTTCGCATGTGGTCTTGTTCCTTTCATCCTCTGGATCACATTCAAACTTTAGTTCATCTGGAACTAGCGTACAAAATCCGTCGAATAGCTTTGGTCTCCTGACGTCATGACCAGGGATAGGTGGCCATGCGTTTTTGAGTTCCAGCACCTGCCTAAGACTTCCGTCATTTTGATGGGGTGAAACGGAAAAGTCGAGCTCTATTGACTCTGGGTTGGAGGGCTGCAGTAGATTGTTGTCTGTGCTGGTTAGACACCTGTACGTTTGGCACAGAATAACGAAAACTAATCCCACACACAGTATTTTGAGACAAATAGTGCAACTCTCGCTATGATCCGAATCTATACTTTCAACGCCCTTGCATGTTTTGGTGCTATCGTGTCGGTTTTTGCACATATTCCTTTCTTCATTCGTGACGAGTACTCCAGTGTTTACACCTTCCATTCTGATTCTTACACTTTACAAGTGGGTGTATGTTTTTATCACGCGCACTGTGCATGTATGTATGCAAAGTCCATGAACAAGACGGGAAGCATGACCGAAATGATATGTCAAGCCTGATACCAGCGCCATTGACGAGAGAGCGGGTGCCCGTCTATAGAGACAAAACCAATATGGCACCCTCCATCACAAATAAATTCTCCACATGGGAGATCGCTCCGAGTCCGACCACTGCGCATGGATTTTCCCACTTTTAAATATTTGTAAAATATAAGAACAAATACGCAGAGATGTCACGTGGTACTATCTAGTGTATTTCCATACGGTTAATTCCGAAAACAACAACAAATTGGCCATTTCATTTTTGACAGATTTTTGTTGTACATGTATCTTGAAACACGAACAAGGATTAAAACACTGAATTACAGCACTGTGTCACGCACACCTTGTATGGACTCGTACGAAACACAAACGATGAGGATTAAAATACTGTATCATGGCACCGCATCTCTCGTGCACCTGATATCGAGGCGCGCATGTCACTCCACTTGCTCTGGTTGTCTCCCAGCCAGTGTCCCCCGTATCGCCCGGAGCCGGGGAAGGTCGACCGCGACAGGATGAAAGGACGTTTCCCAGTCAGACTCAGCAGTGCACTGCAATGACGAAGAATTAATTACCTCTCAGCAGAAGTGTTTCCTACGCGGCGGCACCGGTTTCCCCAAGGTCACGCGACTATTCGTGTTGCTTTCTCGTCAAGCAATCACGCACTCTTGTTCGCAGACTATATTCGGAATTGGTTTCACGTGGATAATTTTATTTTATTTTCAGCCACGTTCCTATTTATAGAATATTTGGCCTCGGTTTCGCCACACCTGAGTAAAGTCAAAACTGTGTTAACAATTAACACCTTTATAGAATGAACACCTGTCCAGAAAGGACACATCTGACGTCCCCACCCTCGGGTGGTGGCTATACAGTGAAACCACCTCCATAGACCAAACACCTGTCTAGAAAGGCCACTTTTGGAGATTCCCTTCAATGACTTTCACATACAGGTTTGACTGTTCGTATGTTTTCGCCATGTTTAACCGCGCCATCTCGTGAAGCGCTTCCTGCGCGTCCGCCCGCTGCGCGTCCTTCATCTCGCGAACAGACGCGGCCGCTCGGATGAGCGTTTGCCATGCTTGCCTGTAGGTGGCTCTCATCTCGGTGAGTCCGTACAGGCTGTGTAGGTTGTAGTGGCTGCCTGCGTACTGGGTGGAGGAGGGGCAGAGCGTGCCCGCTGCGAGCGATGAGTCATCGACGGCCGGTGTGTAAGGCGGGTTGTCGGTGCGGCTAGTGTTGCTGCAGCCGTGTATGGACCCTGCCGCGCGACTCGTTGGCTCATTCTCATCCTGCAAGAGACACGGATCGCTCGTCAGAAACAGTATAAGTCTTAAGTTTAGCTAGTCTTCACACTTAACATTTTCTCATGGATTGTTGATAGAAACAAAATTAGTCTTAACATTAGTCTTGACGTTAACTTTTTCTCATAGACCTTTGACAGAAACAAAATTAGTCTTAGCATTAGTCTTAACATTAACTTTGTCTCATGACAAAACATTCATTTATCCACGAATTGTGTATCACACTCCCGGAATCCATTTTCAGAAACAAAATTAGTGTTAATACTAACTTTTTCTCAAAGATCATTGACAGAAACAAAAATTAACATCCGTTTTATAATTAATATTTTCTCGTAATAAAAGGGTAAATTAGAATAACCAAAACGTTTTTCCACATAGAATCGGTGGTACTGATCGAGACGTGATACATCAGCGATCAAGCTCGATGATATCACGTGCATTATCTGACACTATCTATACATGCAGGAGTTGTATCATACAAGCCAGATGCCATCGAACGGTACAATCTTGTGGAATTGTGCCAACTGTTTCGTCCAGTATTCCGTAGCCATCGGATGGGTGAAGTCAGGGTACGCCACTTCTCCAGGCCACAACTACAAACAACAACAATAGAAGCAAATGAAGCGGCACTATAGAAAAGCTGCCACCTGATGTCACTCATCATAAATTCTGTACAAATCACAACGATGACCCATGTCACCACACAGGACACTACACATCACAGGTCACTGTGAACAATCA